TGGTTTGGAAACATATTCAGCGATGCTTCATCTCCTGCTGGAGATCTCCTCTCCTTGTGTAATTGCTCCTATGTCTCCCTCTGTGTATTTGTGTTCATATAGTTCTGAGCTCCTGTGCCCATCTTTCCCCAGCCCATGATGTCTGTGCTCTCCCCATGCTCTCGCTCTCCCCTCCCGTCTGTGGGAGTATTTTCATAGTATTTTCAGTTCCATTTCATCCCTGTCTCGTTATGCGTAATTGTCCTCAGCTGTGCTCCCCGTGTGTTCCCACCTCACTCATTACCTTCTGTGTATTTTTGTCGGACTCTCCCTCTGTTCCATGTCGCATCGTCCCTCGTGGCTGTGTTTCTTTGTGTGTTTCCCCGTGAGCTAGTTTATTCTTTATTCTTTCATATTATTATTCTTCAGATACTTGATCTGGGTTTTAACCTCTTCCTCAGAAAAAGTCTTGAAATTAAATATTTAAGTAAATTTGTATTAAAATCAAACAAATCTGTACCATACGGCTTTAGATGTTTATAATCATGAAACTCCTCTACTGTTATTCCATCACAGGTAATCAGTTGTGAAGATGTTCCTGTTCATTATCATCCAATACCCTTTAGCATCCTTACTTTTATAGTTAAGCGCATATTAGTTTCTTTTCTATACTTAAGTTTAAACTTAAGTAAACATTTACCCTGATGGGGGTAAGGCTCAGGGTATCCTGCCTTAATCTTTTCTTCTTACACCCATGATACTATTAACATTAACAGTTTTCACCATACCATATCTAATATTGCAGATTTATCACCTTCAACTTTGTTACTAATGTATCCAATTTTTAAATGTATTTTTTTTTTGGGGGGGGGGCAGAAATTATATCCTTAGACACATGTAACCCACTAAATACATACCTAATTGGATGATCTACACTATCAACAAAACCTTTTTATTCCTTCCATGCCCAGTGAGAAGCTCGTCAGAGCTTGTTAACTAAATTCTTCTCCCACCTCCACCTTTTCAACCTAAAAGAAATTTTCCTCCCCAAATTAGGAGGTATCTGTCACGTCCGAGTGGCAGACGTGTGGAGTTGTAGAAAGGACCCAAAAGGCGGCAGCTCTGGTGCAGGTGAGTATTTATTTACAGGAGTGGGTACAAACAGCAAAGGTGGGTGAACATGAAACTGGAAAACCTAAACTGGGTAAAACTAACAGAACAAACCAGAAACGAAGATGCAGGGAGGTCCGGGGAAATACATACGGAGAGACGCAGGGAGACCGAGGGGAAACAACACAGACGAACCAGCAACGACTAAGACAGAAGACGCGACTTAAAAACACTCAGAGAACACAGGGAGATTACACACAGGTGGGGGACACAGCTGGGAGTGATTAACGTGACGAGACTAGGGAGGCAAACTGAAAACACTCACATAAGACGCAGACCTTCACAATAAAACAGGAAACGCATACACGCAAAGACACAGACTAGGAAACGCGGACTTAACACAGGAATAGATGGGCAGAACAGAATAACACTAAACAGGAGGAACAACAGAACCAAAATCACACTAATAGAAAACACAAAACGCTGGGTCAAAAGGACCCAGGATCATGACAGTATCTGCTTTAAGGCTGTGACAGATGTGGCAATCCCAGTTAACACCAGCATCAGAAAGAAGCATATGAACACTGACAAATGCCAAGAGCTTCCAAGTGCTGTAGCAACAACTGGAGAAGATGTGGAAGGTAAAGTCCAACACAGAACACCCAAGGAGACACACACTTTGTATATATGGCATATCTGAGTTAATAAGTATTTCTACCTATCTCACTGTTATGAGCATTATTTCCTGGGGACATTTTTCTAAATGCTACAGGTTGATATTATAATGTAGAAGAGAGATTAAAACTATCTCACCTGGTGTATATAATGGTAATAATATCAACGAAGCATGTGAAACTTGTGCAGATGGAAACTCAATGTTTTACCCAAAGCACAAGAATATCATCTAAATTGCAGCTATAAAAACTATGCAGATAGTGGGGTTAAAAGTTGGAAATGAGTTGAGACGTATTAATATTATTTATTAATAACAGCAATAATAAACTGACAGGTTTATATACTGTGGCCTTATTCTGTTTGTGATTTGTGTTTCTGATTACAATGATTATTTGCTTTTAAATAACTGAGCGCTTAAATGTGAATCATACATAGAAAGACAGATTAACATTGTGATTACCTGAAACTTTGGGTAGAGGAGAGCATTGCTGGACAACATGTTCCGGACGTAGGCAATGGAGGCATCCACACGGTCCCAGACTATATACTCCGTCTCATTTGTCAGGTACTTAGTGAGGTTGAAGGCGTGACCGTAATCTATAATGTCCGCTCTAAACGGTTAAAAGAAAAAAGATTAGTATTCTGTATTTCCGATTAGACATCAATGATTTGTTTATGCAGATTTCTTTGAGTGTTTTGATGATATCCAACCTTGCAAGAGCAAAAACATCATCAATATAGCTCGTGCGATCAGCTGCATCAAACTCCTGGGGGAAAGAGATTCAGAAAGAGTAACAGTGAGCCCCGTGAATACTGTGGTATGGTTCGGCTCTGCCTGTTCATTTTCTAACTCCTCCATAATAAGAGTTTAGCAACCCAGATAAAATCTATAATATGATTGGTTGAGTGTAGAATAGATATTATTATATTCAAGTGGGGTCTGAAAGGTTTACCAAATGGTTGGTTTGAAGCTGTTGACTAATAGCAGTCCACATGCGGTCATCATGGTTGACTCTGTAGAATCCAATATGATCATCGTTGACCTTTAGCAGCCCATCCGCTAATGGTGAGTAACCGGCGATGGTTTGCTCTGAAAGTAGTCATTATAAGAACAGTGAAGGAAATATTATGAGCAGTACTGTTTAAAAGTTTGATGTTTAAAGTTAATTGTCACTTCTCTGGTGGGGACAAAGCCCCTGGTTGAGAGATACTAACTAGAGCTCGCCTCAAAGCACAGCTCAAGCTCTGGAACCAGTGTCTATCTATTTGCCCCAAGATGTGCCCTCAGTGGGAGGTGGCAGACTGGGATGAATTTACTTGTATCCGCTTGGTTCAATAACTGCATGTTCAGTGTTTTACCCAGTGGATAAAAGGGTTGCCTCCCTGTGCCATCAGATCAGGGAATGGGTCCCTACTGTTGTAACTATGCACCAAATAACAGTTCAGAGTACTCAGCATTCTTGGAATCACTGGGTAGAATGGTGACCAGTGCTCCACCTGTGGTTTGTTGTGCTGGGGCACTTCAACACTCACCTGGAGGCTTGTGACCGGGAGGAATGGCCTGCCTGATTTTTCAGTACTGATCCTGGATTGCCCAATTAATCCTCTTAATGCATGAGTCATGAACTCTGGGTATATATACTGAGCTCTCCATTAGGAATATAATGAGGAGCTCAGTTATTTAAGAGGCATTGGGAGTTTCTTCTTCTCCATATTAAAAGGCGCCAGTTGAGGTCGTTTGGGTATCTGACAAGGATGCCTCCTAGACAGGTGGAGGCATCCTTGTAGGACAAGCCCAAAATACCTCATCTTGGAGGTCCAAGATGAGGTATTTTGGGCTTGTTCCACTGGCAGGAGGCCCCAGGGCAGACCCAGGACTCGTTGGAGAGATTATTTGTTGGCAAGCTTGGTAATGACTCGTGTCCTCTTGGATGAACTAGAGGAGGTGGTTTCCCTGCTTTGACTGCTCTCCCTGCAACCCAAACCTGGATAAGTGGTAGAGGATGGATGGATGGATGGATGGATGGACAGTTATTACCATCCAACTGGTTGCACTTAACATAGATGTTTCTTTATGTAAGAAGGTACCAGATAAGTAAAAACTAAACTATGTACTATCAATTGCAGCATCTCAACTTTGCTTTTAGTGCAAAACATTTATATCACTGTCCTGCCTGCTGGTTGTGGATTTGCTTTTCATT